GAGCCTCAAACGAAAGAGCGGCCAACATCATCTGACATCCACACTCCTCCATAGGCCTCTCCTCTTCTCAGTATCGTTATCACTGGGAAGGGGGTGATGTAGCGGCCTAGAGTCCCTCGAAACTCGTACTCGAGGGACTCTAGGCCGCTACATATTAATAAAACTTAATGACGGGGCCACATTTGCGAGATAAGCACAAGATGATTATTACGTATATACCGTATATACTAATTTTTTTTTATTAAACGTATATTTGCATTGTACGTTTCCAGATTGCTTTCACGATAGTTGCACGTCTCGTAAACAGGAATGAAGTTTCATTTATGTGAGGTGGTTTCGCACATGATGCGACAGTGAGTCGCAAGGAATATTCGTAGCCTTTCGATAGCGCTCATTTTCGACGATGGATACTGTTTTGCAATAAAAATTTCAAAATTAAAAGGTCAATTGAGCAGCATTTTCATTGGACAGGGATTTTATTAACAAGAACTTTGTATTGTGTAAAGATATGACTCAAAGTTGACAATTGCATGAATACTTTCCTGATGAAAAAATTTTCCTATGAGATGAGTGTCTGAATAATTTCGTGAGTCACTATATATATATGTTTTTTTTTTTAAACGAATATCTAAAAGTATAACTTAAAGTTGTATCACCATCTGACACATAAAAAAGTTCTCACACACACGTATCTAATTTTTTAAAACTAAACTAAAGATACAACTTAAACTCGTATCTTTTGCTCCTGAAACTTTCTTCTGGCCATCATTATAAATACAAAAGAAATTCTCCCATGATAATTCTTCGAATACTTTCGCAAGACACGTATATCTACATCTTTTTAAATTAAACTAAAGATACGACTCGAGCTTGTATCCTTTACTTACCCTTCGAACCATCATTGTAACAATACGTAAAAAAAAAATTCTCCGATATTAACCCATTTGCATCGTCACCTATCACCAAGCGCGTACTATTCCACGATCTTCACTTATATGTCAGTTGAATACCGCTGATGTCTCAACATAGTAAGGATAGATAGAGTCGTGATGCAAATGGGTTTAAGTGTTCGAATATTTTCATATCCACCGCTATATACAAAGGCCATCAACATCTACCCGTACACGTCTTTTCAAACTTCTACTAAAACTGAACCTAAACTAAACACAAACACCTCTGGCCTGTTCCATCGTTGCGCATAAAAGTCTCTCTCCCGTGATAGCTGTTCTATAATACATTCATAAGCATTCCATATTACTATATATACACGTACTATATACGACAACGCGTACATCTATCTCCCCCTTGCTTTCTACCGCCCCGCTGTCTAAGTTTTCTCTCGTTGCTCTTACTCCTCTTCGTCTTCGTCTTATTGTTTTTCAGCCGGTTTGCCGACGCGGCGAAACGATTCCGCAAAGGTAGCTCCCTCCGCACCGCGGTTCGTCGTACTTCTCGCGTTTCCACGTATACTCGGAGAGGAGGAGGAGGAGGAGGAAGAGGAGGGGGAGGGCACGTGTTTGCCTGTGTCGCGCGTGCCTGCCACGCAGACAACCACCGTGGAAACAACGTCCGTGCAACCGCGTACGTGCGCTTATAAGTAGATACGTGTGGGACGAACGGGGCCCCAGTTAGCATAACCTGATCTCGAAGGCCTCTTGGGTATCCTCCCTTCACTCTCCGCCATTTCTTTTTCTCTTTCTCCTTCCCCGCCCCTCCCGCGCGGGCCCAAACCTCCCCCCTCCCCCCACTCACTGACCCCAGGGGACTTCTTTTAATCCCAAAGACGCGTTTCATTCGTTTTTCCCTCTTTCTATCGTCCTATCGTCGGATTTTCACCTATCGATTCATCGACAGAACTACTCGGTTCACGTGAATCTGATGGAAGACGAACGTCTCGTGTACAGGCAACGGCAAAGACGTTTTACTACTTGTTGTAAACTATAGATATGCACGTGCTGCTTGTTACATAGATATATCAGATATGGGCGAAATAAAGGAATTTCTGTCGTTTCGGAAGTGTAATTAATGAATTGTACGCACTTTGGGAGCTTTCTTGTTATATTATGCTATTGTTACGAAACGATAGTATTATATATTGTAGAAGTTTCAAATCTAAATATAATATAGTATAATATTGTATATATACTATATTATACATAATATAGTACTGTCTAAATATAATATAGTATAATATTGTATATATACTATATTATATATAATATAGTATAATATTGTATATATACTTTATTATATAATATAATTAAATAATAGTATCATATATTATAGAAGTTCAAATCTAAATATAGTAATATTATACTGTGTATACTAATATTTTATATACAGTATAATATCATACTGTGTATACTAATATTATTATATACAATATAATATCATACTACATTATATTTGGATTATATTAATATATTTATTTTATATTAGTAGAATATTATTATTAGTTAATATTGCATACAGTATAATAATAATATAATAATATTATATACAGAATAATATCATACTATATCATATTTAGATTATATTAATATATTTAGTTTATATTAGTTAATATTGTATACAGTATAATAATATTATAATATTATATACAGTATAATATCATACTATATTATATTTAGATTATATTAATATATTTATTTTGTATTAGTAAAATATTATTATTAGTTAATATTGTATACGGTGTAATATTATACTATATTATATTTAGATTATATTAATATATTTATTCTATATTAGTAGAATATTATTATTAGTTAATATTGTATACAGTATAATAATATTATAATAATATTATATACAGTATAATATTATACTATTATATTTAGATTTGAGCTTCTGTAATATATTAATATATATACTAATATATTGTATGTATTGTGTATTATTATTCTAAAGTATTATTATACATTATTACCATAAAATATTATCATGCATTATACATTATTATACATTATTACTATAAAATATTATCCTTAAATAATATTATATTTAGATTTGAGCTTCTGTAATATACTAATATTATATTGTATATATTGTATATTATTGTTATAAAATATTATCATACATTATCCTTAAATAATATTATATTATACATTATAGATTATATCATATATATTATATTACATTTAGGTTTGAAACTTCTATTTCTCAAGAAAAGAGAAGTACGAAAAGATTTATTCCCATTATTGCTCCAAACTCCTCTGAACGAAACTATAAGTATCTCTTTTACATATACTACCGATGGCGCATGCAAAGTACACTGTAGAAAAAAATCACGCAACGATGGAATGAGGCAACTGGACGGAAAAATGCGGCAGAAAGATTTTTCCACGCAACGCAACGTAGGGAGGATGTTCGCGTGTCCGCGACCTCGCGCCAACAGAGAGAAAGGAAAAACGACGACGCTACGCGACGCTGTTAGAAGAGACACAAACAGGGATGACAAAGCTCGAGATCCGCCAAGGATCGATGAATCGATTGCGACGAGTGAGAGACAGAGTACAAGAGAGTACGCTGGCAAAGGTGAGAGATAAGGAAAGGCGAGGATACGCGCGCGTGGCGACGCGTGCCACGTTCGTCGCCTACGCCTCTCGGCGGGCCACGAGTCGCAGAGGCAAGCACGCCGGGAAATCGTTGGCGAAACTTTCAACTCGCCCTCGCGGTCCGACTTTTCCCTTCGCTTTCTCGATGAGGCGACCAACACGCCAAGCACACCGTCGAATCGTAGCCACGCGACCAACGCGACGCGTTTGCACGCCCACGCGCGATAGCCTCTTCTCTCCAACTCTTGCGCAAGCAAAAACTTCTTCTGGCTCGCGGTTCCGAGAAACCTGCAAGGTTGCCATTCATTTCCCGTTTATCTGAGATCCTGCAGATCTAATCTGATCGGTGAAATTATCCTTGATATTCGAGGGATGTGAGGAATGATTCTCAAGTGGATGCGGACCAACCAATTGTCCCATTAGCGTCTATAGGTGTTCTCGTTTCTTACTTGGTCCTCGCAAAATTAACATTCACTCAAATTTAATAAACTGTTGTGGATGTTTGTGGAACAGTTTGCGGAAGCGCAAGGATACGTGAAATATGAAAAAATATGCGCAATGTAAAAAGAAATATCGTGAAACATATCCAAATTTTAATTCTAATATGAAAAAATATGTGAAATATTCAAATGTTAACTAGAATGTGCAAAAATATGTAAAATATTCAAATTTTAATTGCAATATAAAAAAAAAATGTGTAAAATATCCAAATTTTAACTATAACGTGAAATATCCAAATTTAAAATATGTAAAAGTATGTAAAATAATTGTAATACAAAAAAATATATAATATATAAATATACAAATTTTAATTGTAATATGGATTATTAATTGTAAAATATTCAAATTATAATTGTAATATAAAAGAAACATGTAAAGTGTCTAAATTTTAATTGTAACATGGAAAAATATGTAAAATATTCAAATTTTATGATGTGAGAAAACATATAAAATATCTAAATTGCACGTTACATTAGATACATGTTTGAACCTTTCAGAAGCCACAGGATAAAACGACGATATCGTAAACACTGATTTCAAAAATTTACTTCAAGATTTATTACTACCTATATCAATACGAACGAATTTATGAAAGCAAGTCATTCGTGTTTTGGGATTTCCTGAACCTGTATTTACGTAACAAAATCACGACACATGTCAATAAAAACGCGAAGTTACATTCGCTTCTTGCTTCGCTTTGTTTCTTTCAATACTGTAAAAGTAAAACACTGTATTTCTTTAAATACAAGAATTTGTACAAGCATTCACCGGTGCTTCGCCACCAGTCCATTATCAATATCACTATCAATGCGAAAGTGGAATTTAACAGCGCTGCGCAATACGTTCCTCTCTGCTCGATAACGCGTGTGAAAAAGTTGCTCGTCCGTATCGAGTCTCAAGATATATTCGCAGTTTTCTCTAGTCGCTAATCGTCCGAGATAAGGGGGGGATCTTTCTCTCACTCTCTCTCTCTCTCTTTCTCTCTCTCTCTCTCTGTCTCTCTCGTGAAAGCGTGAGTTTTGCTCGAGTTCGCGCTCGACGTGCGAGAAGTCACGTGCACCGCGCATCTTATCGCGCACATCTATTCGACAATCTTCAAAGAGAGAACGATACGCGACGATACAGTTCTTACCTTCGTAGGAGATGTGTCGAAAGTCGACGGCGGCGTGTAAGCTCGCGACCAGCGTCCCTAGGATCGCCAGTTGCACCGGCCATCGATCCATCGCGATCGCTCTTTGTCCTCCCTTTTCCCTCTATCGAGTGCTCTTTTTTTTTCACCTGGAAGCAGAAATACCGAAATGATGTATATGAGTGATTATACACATACGTGTACCATTCTTAGAGATCGACGCAAGTAGCAGTAATTTCTCCATTATTGATTATTTATATTTATTTATTATTACGAATAATAGCAAAACTATTACGACAACTGTCAGTTAAGTCAGGAACATATAAAATATATTAAATATACTAAATATATATAAAATATATAAAATAAAATATACTAAATATACTAAATATATATAAAATATATAAAATAAAATATACTAAATATACTAAATATATATGAAATATATAAAATAAAATATACTAAATATATATGAAATATATAAAATAAAATATACTAAATATATATGAAATATATAAAATAAAATATACTAAATATATATGAAATATATAAAATAAAATATACTAAATATATATAAAATACATAAAATAAAATATACTAAATGTACTAAATACATATTAAATATATTAAATATACTAAATACTTATTAAATATATTAAAGATACTAAATATATAAAAAGTATATAAAAACTATCTATCATCTAAAACAAAATGTCTGCTAACGGAAATTTTAAGCTCCGTTCCCTCGGGATATGTACGCAAAGGTGTATAAAATTGCACAGGGATATAATAATCGTAAGAAAATTCTCATAGGCACGAGAAACAAATTACACATGTCGCGAATAGCTCACGAAATTCGACGTTCGTCGCAATGTACGCAGCTTCGACGTTCACGTGAACTCACGTCTGACGACGAGCTCACGGTCCCTGATCCATCGTTGAGAAACAGGTACAGGTCTCTTTTATGAGAACTTGTGGGGAAAAAAACTCAACGAAGCCGAGAAGCAATCTGAGGCGGCGGTCATCTCGTGATCTCGATCGATCATTGACCGATCGAGAATAAACGCGATCCGAACGCAGGGAGGCAGTGTGGACGCGGGGACGCAGACGAGGTCGTCGACCTTGTGCGCCCTCTCGGTCGTCCGCTGCTCCGCCACTTTCGACCGCGACGCCTTTTCTCTCCTCGCATGTACACGCGTCGCGACGTTTCCACGATGGAATTTCTTATAAGCGTCAGACGCGTTCGCGTTCAACTTTTATACAAAAGTGTAATTAACAAGGTTATGAGGAACTTTGGCCATAACGTCATTATATTACATTGTATATATTATATTACGTTATATTACATATTATTATAATATACATATATTATATTATACTACAATTATATTATATGTTATATTATATATATTATGTACTATTACAATAATATATTATATATATTATATATTATAATAATATATTATAATATACTACAATTATGTTACATATTATAATATGTAATATAATTGTAGTATAATATATGTTATAATATGTATAATAATATGATATATGTATATAATAATATATAGTATAATATAATATATATACATAATATATGTAATATAATTGTAGCGTAATATATGTTATAATATGTATAATAATATGTAGTATTATATATATAATATATTATATATATATATATATATATACATTATAATATACTTCAAATATAAAATTTATAGTTTTATTAAAAATTGCAACACGAAATATATTTATACTAGATTCAAATTCATTGCATTCTGATAAATTTAATTTCACTTCATAATTTTATCATATTATTTATAATTATAATAATTTCATTGACGTTGTTTTTTTTATTTTAGATTTAATATCAAATATTTAAATTTATCATTGTTAAAAGGTCATACAATTGGAATTATTCGAACTTTAATACCAATATTTGTTATTTATCCGTCGTTAAAAATTTTATATTTTATTGATGAAATATTTAATCCTTATTTCTCCATTAAAGCAATGATGATCGGAGAGATATGCTTCACGCGATCTCTTCACCTGTTGCATTCGCAAATCTCTGATACATTTTGACAAATAAAATCTTTTAGAATAAAGCAGAAGCAGAGATTTAAAACGAACTCGTGCTCGTCGCGTGATATTTCTCCCCTACAAAATTAATTAAGTATTTGAGTATTTACCGTTCGAATATTAATAGTAAAAATCCGCAGTCTAATAATCAAACGTCCGTGTGTCATGTTACTTTTACACAATCGTCCATCGACTTTCGTACGACCAAGTTGTTATCGAGTGGTCGCGAATCATTTATTCGGACGTCCTCCGACGTCTCTCGGCCCGACGACGTTGTCTCTCCTTTTGCATGCTCTTTGTCTTTGAACGTCCGTGTCACGGTGACAGCTCGCTTTCTCGTCTATGAATAGATAGCGGGATAAAGGAGGACGCGTCCCGAGACGTCGCTGGACCCACGTGGTTACATTACGTTTTATATATGTACGTACATCTGTCTGCCTCGGAAGTGTGACGCCGTAACAAGAAACGGGGAAGCACTCGTTATAAATACAATTAATAAGAAAACATCGAGCTCCGAGAGATCGCAAGGTTTTTTTCGCCGAGGAAAGAAAATTTCAGTCTTTGGCGACGAGATTTTTGTTTAACTTGTTAAAATGATTGTCATTTAAGTTAATTGTCATTGTTATTTAAGTTATAATACTGTGGTATATAACAGATTATTCTGTATAATAAATAAATATTTTAATATAATAGATAAATATTATACAGAATAAATATTTTATATAATAGATAAATTTATATAATAAATTTATATAATAGATTATAGAATATTATTATAGAATAAATATTTTATATAATAGATAAATATTATATAGAATAAATAATTTATATAACAGATATATAATGGTTAAGTTTATATAATAAATTTATATAATAGATGAATATCATTATAGAATAAATATTTTATATAATAGATAAATATTATATAGAATAAATATTTTATATAATAGATAAATATTATATAGAATATATATTATACATAATAGATAAATTTATATAATAAATTTATTTATGTAATAAAATTATATAATAAATTTATTATATAATAATAATAGATAAATTTATATAATAGATAAATATTATTATAGAATAAATATTTTATATAATAGATAAATATTTTATATAATACATATATAATGGATAAATTTATATTAATAAATTTATATAATAGATGAATATTATTATAGAATAAATATTTTATATAACAGATAAATATTATATGGAATAAATATTTTATACAATAGATATATAATAGATAAATTTATATAATAGATAAATATTTTATACAACAGATGGGTTCATAGATATTTTATAATAATACTTTTATAATATAATATTATAATAATCAAATACATGTGCATATATGCGACGGCAGCCGTGAAAGTGTTAACAGAAACAGTGATAAGAAGAATATCGAGCGTACGATGCGCCATATGATACACAGATGGAAGGACGAAGTCACGAAATTCCGGACTCTCCTTCCGAGTATCCCCTTCCTGCTCACCGGCGATAAAATATTCCGGTCGACGTTGCGGTGGTCTCCGGCAGGGTAAACTTTTTAAAAGCACGCGCGATACTACGGTGGTAGGAACGTCACGGTGGTCCCGAAACTCTAAAAAGGACACGGGACTTTCTTCGAATATAAATATCGTGCCAAGTGACTTTTCTTATCCGTTTCGCCGCGCTGCTACTAGGTCTATCTCTCTCAGGCCTTGTTCTTTTCCGGGTTTCTCTGGATTTGTCCCGGTTTTTCAGAGACGTGTACTTAAAACTGTGTTAGCAGAAGATACATAACCATTTGCACTCGATTGCCCATTCTGAGTGGACATCGTGCTTAAGAGGGTATTCTGGCAATCTGGCTTAAAAGAATCAATTTTTTTTTTTTACATTTTCTCAAAGTATGTACTTTTGAACGTGTCTATGTAAAAGGATTTGTTTGCATTCGTAGAATTAGCAAAGCTACAGATGTTTAAAGGAAACAGTGTACTGCAACGTAAGACTTTAAAATGTGTTTTTGTCCCGAAAAATATTTCACTTTATAATATTATTATTTATTTTTATATTATCATTATTCTGTAATATTTTACTTTTTGTATTGCTCGACTGATTGTAAGTATGAATAGTTTTGGGTAATAGAAACTTCAAATGTGTTTTTTTCAAGTCCATACTTTTTGAACTGGGTGACAGGATATCTCACGTTTTAGTTGACCGATCGATTTGAAATTTGGAGATCTTCGGACAATTGTAACGAGCGTGTACATTTGGTGTTGTTGCAAGAGTGAAAGTTATAATAACGATGTAAAAAAGAACAAAAGAATTTTCTGAGTCAACTTTGGCAGTCGATAATTCACGGGGCAATTAGGCACAGACTAGACTTCTCATTCTTCTCGAAAGTTCACAAAAATGACGGTGAATATTATTTTTCCAACGATTGAAACTACATATGTATTCCTAGAAATTTAACCGCTATCACACGATGTAATCAACGAAATTCCGTGTTAAATACCAATTGATACAATTTGAACGATATATCATTTTATTTTGAAGTGATGCTTCGTAAATAAATTGCTGGTAAATGACACAAGAAGGGTCTCTCGAGAGCAAAAAAAAAAAAAAAAAAATTCATTCGCTAATTGCAAGTTTCGCTGCCGAACGAGGACGTCGAATCGTTCTTCGAACTGTCTTCTGTCGAAAAAGAGAACAACTTCTTTGAAAGAAGTAATCACGAAAGATGGCGCAAAAGACAATCGAACTGTAGCGATTACGATAATTTAAATTTATATCACAATACTACAAATAAATAATAACTCTGCAATTAATTTTAGTTGTTTATATAAAAATATTATCAACATGACAGACTATATAATTACTAATAATTTAATGAAGATTAAATAATGAAAGTTAAATAACGAATGAAGAATTTCTACTATGACTACAATATATATATAAGTGTCTGTAAACATTTCCATGGTAATAATAAAATTACTAAAAATTTTTAAATATTCTGTAATTTTAAGTATTTTATATATTCTAAATATTTTATATATTTTAAATATTTTATATA